GAAAGAAGTACTCAATATCTATAGATTCAAATTGTATTACACGGATGCACACATAAACTGTTTTTAATTTAATAGAAATTTCGGAGTTTTACGTAGGCTGACTCGAAATTGAAAAAATCGTGACTCCGTAGATATTCAACGCATTCATAATTCTAAATACTAAGAACAAGTTGAGATATAAAGCAAACAGGGATGGCCATTTACTATGCTGCACCCGTTTTATCTGTTTTTTTTTCTGTTTGTGAAGGTTATACAGTCTTATCTTATTCTCCAGCACGATAGCCGAGTAAATATTTTCATTTCTTTCTTTCTTGGTGCTTACATCTAGATATCAATGACATTAAGAGACCTCATCATGATGCCTTAATTTCAAAAGAGATATATTGCTTTTAATATAAAATACATTGAGGACTCTGCACTTATTTGTTTTTTCATCGTGTTTTGGATGGTTCTTTCATAGGTATCTGAATAGTTGATAGCTATTCGGACACTTTCATTGCTTTTCAAAAGGTATTTGATTCGTTTCTATCTATTTTTTGTTTCAGAGCTATTTCACTTTTTCATGACTGTTTGATTCGTTTATAGCTATTTAAATAGTTGTTACAGCGTTAATTAAGATGAAGTACCTGCAAATATCTCCATGAATAGGTGTTGAACGTGAAAGAGTATTTTATAATTAGTTACAGCATTGAATATATATTCATTATTATTAAGTAACGGGTAGCGAATCGATTCGTGGTTACTTATTATCTTTGAGCAAGCGGTAGAATACTTAAAGTGATTATAGATAATGAATTTTGCAGATAATTAAACAAACAATAGGTATCTTTCTTTAAAAATCAGTTGATTAGGCATCGATAGAGTTCTTACAAGCATGAATTTTCTGATGCGGTCCTCTCAATATTTGCTTAAATTTCATCAGCTGATTCTTTAATAGTTGAGAAATCTTATAATGGATCATTACAACAAAAGTGATTCATCTAATGCGAAATTATCTCTTTCGAAAAAGTGTTGAATGACACATAGCATAAACGATTATTCGTTCTTTCCGATATTTCGAACTTTTTTGGATAATCAATATTCGTGCTTCGAACATAAAAAAGAATGAATAATAGTTTTTAGAATCGCGACATTAAAGCGAGACAAAAATGATAAATATCATGCTTATGTCGAAGACGACAGATATGCAACAGCTAATCAGTGAATCACTATTCTATCGAAACTATTTCATTTGTACTTAGTATTCGCAGTCGAAATAAATGATTTGATTTTAAATAAGAAATGTACTTATTTTAATTGGATATGAATTAAATCCTCATTTTCTATTGTTACTTTATATCTCTTTTGGTTAGTTCATACCTATAAAATGCCGAGTAGATATGAAACAGTCAAATAGCCATGAAAGAACCATGCAGCGATGAACTAAGGGTGTGGATGTGGTTGCTTATTGTTGACTAACACCCACACCCTAGCCATCCTCAAGATAGTGTCAAGTACACGAAATAGTGATCATTTTTTTTTTATTTGGCTTATATGCATATCTGACCAATAGATCATGCTAGAAAGTGGAAGCTTTCACTGAAGAAATACCTTATTGACCAGCTACTCTATTGGAAACTTCATTTCTCTGGCTACTTCTTATGACTCAGAAGACCTTGTACAAAAAGATGATTTACTCAAAATTTCGATTTTCGAAGGAACTCATCTTCGAAACTATGAGATCAATTGAAGTTGGATTCGTATGGTTTTATAGTGCACATTGACTAGTACCAATTTATGGAAAAATCCTCCTGAGATATTTACGAATGGTCTTGGAAGACTTATTGGAAAATATTGAAAAAAGACCCATTTTGTATTCAAAGTATTCTCGAATGTGTTGAGAAACAGAGACCGAAACGAGTCAAAAAAATCCAACTCGACTCGACTTAGGTATTCACTCGACTCGACTCGACTGACATTGGTTGTTCAAATTTGTAGTTCTAGAATCGTTGTAAAAGTAAGTATCGAAACAATGCGTGCAGCTTGCAAAACCCTTGATAATACTGAATTCTCCATTTTCTTCGTTGTGCTTTCGGAAGCCCGGCAAACCAAATTTAGTCCGACACGCAGCAGTTGCACGTTTATTGTGGCTTGGCAAAACCTTGTAGTGATTCTTGTCGCGAATTAGTAGCTGTTTGATGCTGGCAGGTGTGTAAGTTTCCGGAGCAACTGAAGAAGATACCACCGTAGAACGTAAAACAGACGAGGACACTTCGGACAAACATTGTGTCGAATCGTCGTTGGTTAGATCGATCGACATTCTCAAAACACTAACGATTGTAGTTTTTAATTAAAAGACGTTCAATCACTAATAGTATATGAGATGAAAAAAATAAGAACAATTCTGCCATGTGCTACACATCGACTGTTTATATAGACTCATCATTGATTAATGCAATGTCGTCAATTAATCTATGAATAGACAATAATACAGTGAATACAATGAAAGTCATTGTTCGCTATTCATTTCAGTCCATTCAACACCGTCGGTTCATTGTTGTTTAGCCATTGACACTGACTGTCTGACGAATTCATTGTGATGAATTAACATTATACTATTTTAATAAAGCCAAAACTAACAAACATTCTTGCTGAGAAAGAATACAAAGAGCCACAAGAAAATTCCAAAAAGCGAGTCTCTCGAGTCAAACTCGACTCGACTCGACACACATTTTAAAATCTTTAACTCGACTCGACTCGCTTTCGGTCTCTGTTGAGAAATAAATCGAAACATTTCATCATATCCAAAAAAATTCTCTGCAGTTTAGATTAGTATTTCAGCGTCTATTGTCTTGCATAAAAGTCATTTGACAATAACAAAAGAAAAAAATGTTTTAAATAATCTCCGTGTGTACTATGTGCATGTGTCTGTACAAGATCTTTTGATTAACATCTTCTATCAAAAACCCTGGATGAAGCAGTAATGTTAAAATTGAAATTTGAAGTAAATTCAAGTTTCCAGTTTTGCATGTATGGATCTTTTGATAGATTGCAAGAAAAATCTTGATACTGATTAATCATCTTAAGAAGTTCATCATAACATAGACGATGTTTACCATTTGTTTTAAATATTTGCGCTACTGCTCAAAAGTCGAAGTGGGCTAACTTTTCAGCAGTTGAATCCAAAATTCTAGAATTTGGATTCAAACGTTTTAGGCCATGCTAATCAAGATGAGAATATCAAATTAAAAGAATTAATTTTGATTGGTGCCTCGATTATTGACATGCTGCTTGATCCGTTCATAGAATCTCTCTTAAATAGCGAACGTCGCTATTTTCGATCGCACCATGTGGTCAAGAAAAGCTCGAGTTATTCTTAACGAAACTGAATTTTATTATCAATATAAAACTGAAAAATCTCCAATTGAAGAACGAGAAGCCAAAAGTGACGATGAATTTGACTCAGTTGTTCGTATTAATCCATCAGCTTTTCCACATGATAATGAAACCTATGACTATGCTCGACTATGGATTCAGAACAATTGGAACAGCTCTTATTTTGTAATCACGTATAATGAATCAAATGTTGTCGGTTATATTCTATGGGTTGTTAAAGGCGGTTAGAAACGTCGCATAGCGTGTGAATTAGAACAAATAGCTATTGAGGGTGTGGGTGTGTAAGTGTGGAGTAGGTGGCTGTGAATTTCAAAGAAATCTCATCCACACCCACACACCCATCCACACCCACACACCCATCCACACCCACCCACACCCGTCCACACCCACACCCACACCCTTCTTTGAAATTCCAGAACCCAGTGCTTCCCCCATTGAATTTCTATCACTGGAAATCAGTTTTTATCTGATCACCGTGAATCAATAGAAATCATCGAAAATGTTTATAAATGAAAGAAAATCACGAGAAATCGTTAGAAATCACCTATTAATGGTGCGTTTCTTTCATGTTATTTGTTTATGTTTTAACTTGCAGTACAAAGCTACCGTTGTGCAAGCAGTTTACTTGTCTTTCTCCGAAAGAAGGCAACTGTTTTGTTCCAATTTAAATTCATGGCAGACATGACTATGAATAAATCGCTATCCATGTTTTTTGTTTTTTTCATTCCTTCACAGCAGCGGCTCTATTTTTTTCCCATTCTGTTTCTTTCTCTTTCATCTCACAGTTTAAGGCAGATGCTGCACAAGTAGTTTACAATTCTTTCATAAAAAAAGCAATAGCTTCTCTCCATTTCAAGCTCATGACAAATATGACCATGAATAATTCGCTATCCGCGTTTCGTTTTTCTTTTCCTTCACGGTAATGGTGCCTGTTTTTTCAGTCTATTTGTTCCTCTTTCATATCAGAGTCTCGGATAACTATTGAGGGTGTGGATATGATTTTATAATGATTTTTACTAAATTACTCAAAACTAGCAAGATGCGTTTGTAACGATCAATAAGGCCCCGACTGGGTTGATACGTAATGACAAACTGAATAGAGGCGGAGTAGCTTACCGCCACTCTCGGCAATGATGTTTATTCGCTTCTTCACATATCCAGAGTGTAACAACTTCATACATAATACGCATATATATAGGAGAGAGATAGAAGAGAGACAGGAGAGAGATATATTAGAACAACGG